AAAAAAAAAAAAAAAAAAAGAAAAAAAAAAAGTAAAACTAAATAAGTAGAATTAATATTAATAATGTATTTAACTTAATGAATCCAAAATATTATTTTATATTAAAGTGATTTTAAAATATATATTTCAACATGTAATTAATGCCTTAAAATTAATGAGTTTTTTGTGCTAAGTCTTTGTAATTGACATTATAACACCTCTCATTGAAGGGTAGCTACAGTTCATGTGTGGCCACTAGTAACTTTAAACTATTATCCAAATGAGTATCCATGTGTGTGTGTATAATGCTATTAGTGGTAACTCTAAAGTAATAAAACATCTGGGGTGTCCTTTGAATAACCAAATGAAGACTGCCTTTTAGTATCATTTGATAATCATGTATTTTATTATGTTCTAATTCTTTCAACATTAGTAATCTATGGGTGGGCTATGCTTATTAATGGAGTCATTATTTGTGATACCTTGATTCAAGAACTGTCTGTCATTAAAGTTTCCTTTAAACATCCTCAGTGAAGATTCAGAGTGCCTGAGTGGAAAAGTAAGCGGATGTGTGGAAATTCCCATGGTCTCCTCAGACAGGGTCTTCTTCATGAATAAGTCTGGGCCTAGACCTTCTGGATAGTAAGACTGCCTCCCCCTGGAACCAAGGAAATGAGAGAAGCAGTACCTCTCAGGTTGGGAGATGAAAAAAGGCTGATTATATGCAGGAAGAAATGTACCTTGTGGTACTATCCAGGCAACTCTCTTGATACTGCCTCTGCAGCAATTCACTTCTCTAAAAGGGGTATTTTACTCCTAACCATCTCTGGGCATTCTAGATAAAAGGGCATTTGCTGCTCACTTCTGATTATGGCTACAGTGAATACAGCATGGGATGCAGCATTACCTACAGAGGTAGAGTAGGGTGGAGAAGGTATCGCCCTGCTCTTTTGAGGGGAGGAGTTTAACTGAACCAACTATTGATCTGAAATTGTACAGAGACTTAAAGACTAGTCATGCAGATATTTTTTAATTATGTAGAAGATAAGTGCCATTTTAAGAGACCCTGAACACCTTCAAGTTCTTTTTTTTTTCCCCTTAGGATTTTCCTACATAGCTCAGAATCCAATATAATTATGTAGCAATCATTAAGATCCAAATAGCCACTTTGATTGCCATGGAAGGACCATTTCTTTTTATTATTATTTTTAAGTCTAATTTTTATTCTAGATTTGGGGCATGTTAGTTACATGGAAATATTGTGTCATAGCAAGTAAAATTATTTCAAATGAAAGAAGATACCATACTGACATGGCAATCGTAGCTCAATCTTGAGTTCTAATAGCATTTTTCTGTTGAGTCAACACAAAAATATTTTTCATTATGTTTCATTTCAACTGTTATCTTTTAATTTATACTTTTACCTTTTAAATTTTTGTTTCAGTTTATCAATTATCCTTATTGTTAATATCAACCTGCTTATTACAAAGAGCATACAAATAATAGATTTAAGTAGAAAATAGAGATGAGAATAAATACACTATTACTTGAATGTCTACTATGTGTCAGGTACTTTGCTAAGTATTTTCCAAACTTTAGAATTACACACATTTGAGACGGGACAACTGAAGCCATTTTATACAGAAAATTCACACACACACACACACACACACACACACACCTGTATTAAATGGCTTATATGAGTGAATAAACACAGAAACAGAAAACTGAATATGTATTGTATGTTATATCACTTATAAGAGGGAGCTCAACACTGGGACACATGGACATAAAGATGGGAAAAACAGACAGTGGGGACTCCTAAAGGGGGGAGGACGGAAGAAGGTAAGGACTGAAAAATCATTTGTTGGATACCATGCTCACCACCTGGGTGACAGGCTCAATAGAATCCCAGATCTCATCATCACCCAATATACACATGTAATAACCACGCACATGCATTCCTTGAATCTAAAATGACTTTTTAAAAGTGACTGTGAGCTTATTAACTTAAAAAAAGACAGCTTATATGTATCTATATGCACTCTTGAGAACTTCTTTATACAAAATAGTACGTAGTCCACAAACCTGAGATCCTAAAATATCTCTGTTAACACTTCATTGTTGTCAGTATTTTCTTTCTAGACTTTAGCCTCAATCTGTTTTACACTTTTATTTCTTCTGAATTAGTCTGAATAGAGACACATCATCTCTTTAGATAAGAAGAGATATACACATTGTTTAGAATGTTACATGAGAAGTAACTTCAGTCAACTCTGTGACAAATACTAAAGCTATTACTACAGTTCTTAATGTTTTAATCAGTTGACTGACTAGGAATTGAGTCTTTTTTTGTTTTTTGCCTTTCATCTCAATAAGCACCTTGTTAATTGACCAAATTTTTGAAAGTTAAAAATAGCACGTTGGCTTGTCATTTCCAATTAATTCTCTTACTCATCAATCAGGTTGATGGTAATCAAACTTTTCTTTTATTTGTTCATCCATCCTACAAATCTTCTTCTAATTTATGTTTGTCACACATCAACCATGTGTACATTTCTCTGATAATGTTTCTATAGTCAGCCCCTATGCTTCATATGCCCAAAGAATTTAGGCTTGCCTTCAATTGACAGACATTATCACATCAAATTTTATATAGCATTATGACATGATCTATCCAGTTAAACACAGACATCCAGAAATAGATTCATTGTCCATCCAGACAGGAAGTAAGTGCTAAATACCAGCAGTTATAAAGGCATGGATCAGGAAACTATGACAGGATAACAGAAATGAAACTGTTCCCTCCTGAGACCTTGCCAAGATCCTCTGGCAGACTAAGTCTGTCTGTTTCACTCCCTAATTCTTTACCCCACAACTCTCCCATGATAATTATGCTTTGCAAAATCATTCCAAATGTATAGGTCTATGAGTGTTGTGTGCATGCCTAGTCTGCCTTCTGGGATGGAGGATGCTTAAACAAGAGGTTGGAGCTTATTCTACACGCAAGAAATCATGCCTGGACTTTTACGGGAGCTCTCCAAGTAAAAAGTAAAAATTCCATTGTGTGCATCATTTATTTGAATTCATTCTTACAAAGGGAACCAGCTTCAATGTTTAAAAACAAAAAAGGCAAAGACTACTATAAAAAGAAAAAGGAGCTAAACATGCAATGATTAGATAATCTCAAAAAGTCCATTTATTGCAAGGATAAATATTAAAAAGTACCAATCATGACCTTTCTATTCATCATTTATAGTTGACCTCTCAAGCTCAGCAGACAACATATGGACACTTCACTTAATTTTATTTGCACTGAGGATGCATACAGGAGAGGAAAGGGCTTAGAGAGTGGACTCAAGCTGACTTGACTTGGCATACCATCTACCATTCACCAGCTAAGTGACTTTAGAAAAGGTACCTGCAGCTTTCTGGGCCAGAGTTCTTCTGTGTAAAGTAGAAATAATGTCAACCATGACCCAGGGTTGCTTTGAGGGGGCAAATATTGGGTAATATGTACAGCAGCACCGAAAACTTTGAAACAAATCGGCCTGAATTAATATTAGTTCCTCTTTCTTCCCCCACTTGTCTGTGTGCAACAAATTTGCTTTTGACTTTGAAATATGAACCGTCTCCCCTCCCACACCAGTAAACATTTTTTTCAAGTGTCATAAATCTAAAAAGAGACATTTTAAGAAACGACTGCAAAAATGATGGACCATTTAACATGAGAGTTTGGGGACTGGAAAATTATCATGCTAAGCCTCATGCTAACTATATTAACAATGGAGATGCCAACCGTCCTTGTACTTTTCTTTTTATCTCGCATATTCTAAGTAAATCTATATTACTGAAGCAAAAAGTCCTTAGGCCTAAATGAGAGGATGTGGGATCAATTCCAACTGCCATGCCTCATCTGCCCCTCTGCCTGTTCTTTAACAAGATTGATAGGTCAAAGATGGAAATAAATTCTTAAGAATTGACTCAGCTGAATCCTGCCCTTAATATGTGGAGAGGCCTTGCAATGTGTTTTACACATGGAAGGAGAGAGGGAGAGGTGAAAAGAAGATATCCTAAGAAACTTCGCTCTGCATAGTTTTGTCAGAGTATCATCATTGCCACAAGCAAAAGGGAAAAAAATATTGACAGAGAGGAGGCGATCTCTTTCAGTTAAGGTAAGATGGTGTGGAGTATAGGGTTAAAACTGAAAATCTATACATTTCAAGCTAGAAGAAACAGGCGACACGAGTTTTTCCAGGACTCGCCCTGTGGTGGGGTCCATAACGCGGGAGGCTGGAGCGGGGCTGGGGGCGGGCGCCAACTCGAGGTCCCAGACGCAACTCACCCAGTTGGAGCTGTTCGCAGGTCTGGCCTGGATTTCCTCCTATCCGGCATCTGTAGATCGCCCCGGGATTGACCACTGAAGCGTTGGCGAGCCAGTTGGCTTTGGGCGCCCCCACCACGAGCCTGAAGCGAGAGGCGTGCACGTGCTCTCAGACGTGAGCTGCGCTGCCCACTGAGAGCCGCGTCTCAAAAGTGGCAGGCGGCGGTGGGGCAGCTCGCCTCTCCTCCTCCACCCAGCGCCCCTCG